AATACAGTGCAGAGACAGAGTTAGGCCTTTTTTCTACAGAGAGAACCTTTTCAGATGTACTGCTAAAGTAAATTATTAGAAAATCCTTTGTACATGCTATCCTTTTGAATTTTCTGGATATCCAATAGACTTAGGACTGATACAACTTTGTGATCGGTCGTCATAGGAAAATTAAAATAAAAACAGAAGGACCAGTCTAGAATCTTTTGTTTTCTTTAAGAAAAAAAAAATTCTGCATCTGCAACTGTGATATAATTATTGCTGGACATGTTATCAATATAGCTAAGCTTGTTAAGCTGGACAAATTAGAGTAACAAGGTTGCTTAAAGAGAGATAGACATTTGCAATCTATCTAGGTCGGTAGGGGGTGTAAGTATCCTTGTTTCTCCTTGAGCAGGAGCCAAGGCCGCTGTCAGAATCGGATTTGGAGAGGGTTTTAGCTACATCGAAAAAGACAAATGTTGCTGCAAGTGAATACAGCGGATTAAGTTCACTGTCAGCAGGATGGTCAGGGCATGCAGATTCAGATGATTACCCTGTCCAAGAAGCAATTAACGAGCTTTCGAAGCTTGTGATTACCCAAATTTTGAATCTCCGGTCAGATAACCGGGATTCTTAATTGGCCTCAGGAACTCCTATAAAGTATCAGCCTGTAAATTGCAGCTTGGACAGGAAACCTGTCTTCATTCTTCTTCAATGTAAGCTGTATTTACTTGCAGCAGGATGGCCAAAGCATGCGGATTCAGATGATTACCTTGTCCGAGCTGCAGTTGACCAGCTATCTAAGCAAGTCACTTCCAGATTTTGATTCATCATTCAGATAACTAGTATTCTTAATTGGCTATAGGGATTCCTATCAAGCATCAGTCTGTAAAATTTGATTCTTTCTTGGCGAAAGTAGATGCCCCAATATTCCTTTTGACAACCGTAGTTTTGCTGTCAGCTTATAAAAGTATTGCATAGTTTTGGAGTAGCATTGCTTGATTTTAACAGCGTAGGGGTGAATTCTTGGTGTGCTCATCCAATGTCAAGACGGTAATTTAGCATCCAGGTGGTTTTCACGTATTTGCATGTTATTTAACTGGCTAGGTGTTTAGTACTTGCATGCATATACGGGAAACTGAAATTTGTGTTTTTTATGAAAAGGGGAACAAAAATTTTCCAGTAATTTCAAAGTTTCTTGACTTCAATCGGAACATTTGCGCGGTTAATTGACAGCTTTTGATAGCGACCACTTATCCTTTGCCATAAATGCTTATTGCCTGGTGTATCCTAATTTAACCAAATTGCAGCGATTTATGGTAGAGACAATCACTGCCGAATTTTATGGGGTGATAGGCAGTGACCACTCTTTAACATTTTAGCAGGCTATATGTCATCTTTTCCTAGGGTGTTATTTGGACCAATTTGTGTCCATATAAAATTTTTAAAATGCACAAGTACCCCTGAACTAAGGTCGAAATTTCAACTTCACACCTTATCTTTGTGGGAATCCTATCATCCCCTCCCTCCTGAACTATTTAGTAGTACAATTATTAACCCCTTAAATGCTGAGGTGACATAGAGAGTGTGTTTGAACAATTAAAAAATTCACTCTTTTTCCAGCGAATACCATAAATGCCGATGAACTATTTTTCCTTTCTTTCATTTTTCCGTTAATCTTCTTCCTCTCGCTCTCACAAGCTACTCGACACCGTTACCACCACCTCTCCTTCACTTTCACTAAATTTTTAGTAGAATTACTAAAGAGTCATCCACTAAATTGCTTAAACTAAAAATAACTAGATACATAATATATCTATAATTTGTGTATAATATATGTATAATCATGTATAATCACGTAAATCCAGCTAGCTATTTCAGCGGATACTTAAATTTAAGGTAATGAAAAAAAAATCAGTTAACTTGTTTGTCTTTACTCTTTAGTGAACTTCGAATTGAATCTTTCATGATTTTTATTCACTTCATTGAGCATGGAGTCATACCCTCCAACGAGTCTACCCATTTTTTCTTTTAATCTATCTTGGATTAAAATTCGGCAACTTCCTATGACTATAGATGTGCGTAAAGGATTCGAGGATTGGAAGTTTAAACTAATTAATGAGCAAAATACGGCTTAGGATATTTCATTTAGACCGTAAGGACCAACTCCTCTGGAATAAGTCTGGTTTTTGTAGTGGCAGTTAATGTTGATTGAAAACGTCAAAGAAGTGTCAGGATTGGAAAATATCCCTGTTTTTCCCGTTCTGCCTTGTGATGTCCTTTTGCCTCAAAGTTTGGAAAAGGAAGTGAATTGGGGTCTAGCCTGTGAGGATCTAGGGGAACTTCGCTACTTGTGGAACCCAAAGACAGAGTCATCACTGTTCATGTACAAATGCAAATGATTATAATTGCGAGCGTCTACCCTATCAATAATTGGTCTGAGCAGAAACTTTAATATCGCACCAAACCAATTGATCTTAAATCGTGCAGAACCAAAATATTCATTCTTATTTAGGTAAAGTTTGGACATAAATTTAATTGAAATTTAAAAAAAATAAAATAAAATTATATTGAAAAATAATTTTTTGAAGTTAAAGTTGTGTTTGGACATGCATTTTATTTGAAAAAAGAAATTAAAATTTTGTGAGCAAATTTTTTTTCTCCAAAAAAAACTGATCATGTTCTATGAACAAATAATATTTTCATTTTTTTTTTGAAAAATATAACCAAAATCCATGGCCAAATGTAGGGGTGTCAATGGATCGGTTCGGCCGGTTATTTTATAAAATTTATACCATACCAATTTTCGGTTATTCTATTATGTATAACCAAAATTGGACTTTTCGAAACCGTCCCAATCATGTCGGTTTCTCTTCGGTATCGGTACGGATCTGTAAATTTTCGGTAATTTTTTTAATGTCATGTAAAAGTTACTAGTAGAAGTAGAATGCAATAACATACATACTTTTTTAGGACTTAGCAAAACTCTCTAGATATTTTTACAGTTTAAAAGGTGATGAATTAAGAAAATATGAAAGATGGCTAGAGTATAGATCAATCAACTATTCTACATCAGCATAAAAGAAACTAAGCAAATACAAAAACAATATAAATCACACGAGTGAAAAAATATTAACTAAGTTGGGATTCAAGAATAAAGTCTATAGAAGATTAAATATTCAAGAAGATAAATCAAAATCATACGAAAGGAAACATGTTCAATACATTATAGATTGCTACTCATACTCACTACAATACCTTGTGTCTTGCTAGTGAACATGCTAGAAATAATTTAGTTTCAATAGGAGTATCAAAATAGGTTTGGAGGATTTTAAGTTTAATTACGTGTTGGCTTGTAACTGTTTCATAATTCAAAGGCTCAAGAAAAATTTAATGCTTTATTATTTTTAAACTTAATATATAAATATATTATTCACATTGGAAATTTATTCGGTACGGTTCGGTATGGTATTTTTTCGGTTTATTTTCATAAAATAAAAAATCTACCCTAATTATCGGTACGGTTATAGATTTATATAAAAACCTACGATTTTATTAAAAGAAACTTAAAATTCGGTTCGGTACGGTACGGTTCGGTTGGTTTAGTCGGTTTTTAAATATCATTGACACCCCTAACCGAATGGGAGCTTAGTACTTGCAAACCCGCAAGAGCGTAGTATTTCCTAGTGGAAATGACACTAGATAACCACTTTTAACATGATGTATAAAATATATTCACAGTTTACAATGTGTTTAAAAATTAGCCAATTTCACTCAAACTTCAGGACACAACGTCCTAAAGATTAAACCTCAAAATTCAAACTTCAGGACATCGCGTCCTAAAGTTCGAACAATGTGTCCTAAAGTTTGAATCTTATGTCCTGAATTTTAAATTAGTAGTTCAGAAATTCAGGATACTTAATCCTGAATTTAAAATTAGCAGCTCAAAAATTCAGAACAGTAAGTCATGAATTTCCAAATTCAGGATACTTAATCCTGAATTTTTGATAAATTAACTAATCTTTAAATATATTATAAATTGTAAATATATTTTAATTAACATGCTTAAAAGTAGCTTTCGGTGTACTTCGCCCTGCTTCCTAATGCTAGGCAAACCCACAAGGGCGTAGAAAAGATGACAGGTGTATGGATTATACAAGTTTTATTTCCCAAGATTCGTTAAAACTCCAATAATGCCAATAGACGACTGAAAGTGAACTAGAAATATCACGTGTCATACAATGAGTGTAACTAACCTTAGATATTATCGAAAAAACCCGACCTAACCTTTCACAGTCTCGCAGTAATCTTCATGTCCTTGTTTTATACTACAGGAAAATACTTGATGATAAAAGGATGTCAATCAATTCAAATCTCGTAACCTTGAGTATGGTACGATAGTTGGGATCGATTCATTTTTAACACAAGGATCTTGGTTAGAGCTCTACAATGACAAAACTTTAAAGAGTGTTACTCTATCAACACTAACCTGAATCAGTCAAACCAGTAATTTTAAATACCCAATAATTAAATAAATAAATAAATAAAAGAAATTCAGAGTCTTGACATCTAAAGAACCGGGATGCCTAACTTGGGCCCCACCCCTGTTTTCATTTTTCCTTTTTCCTGGTATTGAGATCAGGGGCGGAGCCAGCATATCGCATACGGGTTTCCCTGAATCCAATAGCTTCGATTTATATTCTATATTTATCTTAAATATTGAATATGTAAAAGTTATTAGTTTAAAATCCAGTAACTTAAAAAAATTAAAATATCAAACCCATAAACTTTAAATTCTGACTTCGCCTCTGATTGAGATAAAAAGTTCAAATAACGTAGAGACCCTATACTTTGGAAACGAATTTTCAACTAGACTAATCTTTGTTGAATATAGACGCACTGGACCTAATTTCAAACAATTGTAAGTAGGACAAAGTACGTGCCGTTGAAATATATCATGGTTGAAATATCTAGACGGTTCATATAATATTTTAGTATCGCTTGATACTATTCTTTGGTTTCGAACGTCTGATTATATTAATACTACCGTCCCCGTTCTTAGAAAATACTTGTTCACATCAATGTTCATACAAAATCAACAGTTGTATACCTTATGTATTTTATATACATTTTTTCTTCAATTTTCTTTTAACCATGAATTAAATGTAACATAGTTTAAACACTTAGTGTGGATTCATGTTTTGTCTCATCCCTTCCATAGAAATAAGAGAAAGCACCTGTAAAATAACCCCTTTTTATTTCTGGAAAAGTATAAAAAAGGAATGTTAGAAAAAGACAGAAATAGACGCAACAACCTTTAAGGATATAATAAAGCAAATAAGCAATTTGAATATTGAACGTGACTTTAAATTTGCACATGAATTGCTGCTGAAATTGAAAAACGCTACTTCAGTTGGTCAAAATCAAATATGACCAACGCGAATTTTTAACTATAACATCACACATGGAAATAATTCATATAGAAAAATGTACTCGTTTTAATAAAAAAAATACAAGAAAAATAAATTTCTAGTCTTACTAATAAACACATTAAGTATGTCGGACTAGTATTCATATGAATTCAATTCGAAATATAGAATTACGTACTTAGTCTAACAAAACAAATGTTTAGTCAGATAAACACAACGAAGAAACAACGAGGAGCATCATAAAAATGATAGACAAAAACCCATAATTTCTCATTTGACCAATTAAACCTAACAAATGCCGTCCCCCGTCTCCTAATTTCAAACACATCAAATTCATTTATAAAGACTTATTCATTGTTCCAACCTGCCAATCGCCCATCCTCTTAATTATACACTTTATTACTACTACTTTCTTTATGCTTTTCTCAGCACTTTATATTCTTTCTTTACTACAATATTCATGATTTCGTCCACCTTGTTCTTATCATCATTTTAGTTCATTCCCCTGTTTGATTTCATTTCACACCCCTTTATTTAATCATGTTTCTGTATGTGATTGCAATAATTGCTTCATCTTTTCTTCTGAAGTTTGTATTGAAAACTTCCTTGGTGCAAATTCTGAAGAAATGGTGGCGATTGTTCGAGGACGGTTGTTATGTGTACCAGTTCTACAGAGTCCCGCAATTCAACCACAACATGCAGGAAAATCAATTGTATAGAAAAGTTTGCACTTATCTGAATTCTCTGCCGTGTGTTGAAGATTCTGATTTCACCAACCTTTTCTCCGGCGACAAGTCCAATGAAATCAACCTCGTTTTGGATTCAAACCAAATCGTCGTTGACAATTTCCTCAGCGCCAGAGTTTGTTGGATCAATGAACAGGACGAAAACACCGGCCTGAAATCGCTTGTTATGAAAATTAGGAAGAACGACAAGCGTCGAATTCTACAACCTTATCTTCAACATATACATTCTGTGTTCGATGAAATTGAGCAGAGAAAAAAGGAGGTGAGATTATTCTTGAACGTAGATAACGAACCTCAGAGAAATGGACGGTGGAGATCAGTGCCGTTTACACATCCAGCAACTTTTGAAACTATCGTGATGGACGCGGATCTCAAAAACAAAGTCAAATCTGATTTAGAAAATTTCCAAAAGTCAAAACAGTACTATCATCGTCTCGGCAAAGTTTGGAAACGGAGTTATCTCCTCTACGGACCTTCCGGTACCGGAAAATCAACATTCATCGCCGGAGTAGCGAACATGCTGAATTACGACGTGTACGACGTTGATTTATCTAAAGTAACAGACGATTCGGATCTGAAGATGCTTCTGTTACAGACTACGAACAAGTCGTTGATTGTTATCGAAGATCTCGATAGTTATTTAGGGAACAAATCAACGGCTGTGAGCTTATCTGGAATTCTTAATTTTATGGACGGAATATTCTCGTGTTGTGGGGAAGAGCGAATTATGATCTTTACCGTGAATAATAAAGATCAGATTGATCCAACGGTTCTAAGGCCAGGAAGAATTGATGTTCACATACACTTCCCTTTATGTGATTTTAATGCGTTCAAAAGCCTAGCGAATAGTCATTTGGGTTTAAAAGATCACAAGCTGTTCCCACAAGTAGAGGAGATTTTTCAAACCGGGGCGGTTTTGAGCCCGGCTGAGATAGGCGAGATTATGATATCGAACCGGAGCTCCCCGACCCGGGCACTGAAATCGGTCATTTCTGCTTTGCATATCAACACCGAGTCAAGGGCGGCGAATCGGCATGCACGACGGTTGAGTGAGAGCGGATCGGTTCGAACCGTGGAAGAAACGGGTGACTCGGGAATTTTTTGCAAGGACGGTGTGAGAGACTTCAAGAAACTATATGGACTTTTACGGATAAGGAGCGGTAGAAAAGATCCATCCTTCGAGTTTGATACATCGGATAAGGATAATTCACGTCATGACAATTAACTTATGTTGGTTTGAGGCTTTAATAATGAACCCTTACTTGCATAATCATTTATTTATTTATCTTTCAGAATGATGTAAGTTGTTATTTCTAGTGAGTGATTTTTAGTTGACTTAACATAAAGATTGTAGTTAGAATTCATTATCTCATATTGATTAAACTTTGATCAAAGTTATCGCTCTGTTTTTGTTAGTTATACATGATGATTCTCTAACGCTTCTTAATCTCTACTAGTATTAATTATTGGTAGCTGCATATGTAGATTAAGAAAAATGTTGATTAGATTAAGATATGAAATTGTCTCCGGACAAATAAGTTTCATCCAGAGTTGTTTTTACACATTGGTAATTTGACTATTAAATGATAAAATGGTAGTCCGGAGCACTAAACTCGCGCTATGCGCGGGTCCGAGAAGGGCTGGACCACAAGTGTCTATTGTACGCAACCTTATCCTGCATTTTTGCAAGAGGTTGTTTTTCACGGCTCGAACCCGTGACCTTTTGGTCACAAGGCAGCAACTTTATCAGTTATGCCCCTTCACCTAAAACTTCAATAAAATTAGACTAAGTAATGGAGTAATGTTTCTTATTAGTATAATTTTTTCTGTATACAACGTGACCACAGCAATCACCATGACCAATTCCAAGTTCAACAGCAATAGTCTTTCTCCATTGTTGTTATTTTATGTAAATATTGTGAACCCAAAAAGGTGAAATATGGGATAAGTACGTAATAGCTAGTAATGACAATTGGCCAATAATAAGTCAAATAATCACCAATGTGTCTATCACAAATTGTATATTTTAATCAACATTCCATATGCTAGTCAATTTTGTTACCTCTTCAAAATGTCCCTTTTGAAGTTGAGGAATTAGTGTTCGGGGTGTACAATCCGAACCGAAATACTGCACCAACCGAAAAGTCAAACCAAACCGACTAAAACATTCGACTAGGTTTGGTTTGATTTGGTTTGGTATTGAGGAAAAGTATCCGAACCAAACCGACATATAAATATATTTTATATATACTTTTAAGACTTTTTCATAGAATTTTTTTAAAAAAATATTTAAGATTCTCTTATGGGTGTAATATTTAGTAAAATATGAAGTGCTCTATCTTTATTAACTTTAAATAATGGGTTGTATGATCACTTTCTTATCAAGTGTTAATGAAATACAACAATCTCTTTGTTCTTCCATATTCATATGTCAAGATCTATTACATTCTTATATCTTTGTCGGATTTGAAGTGATATTCCGATAACTTAAAATTAAATAGAACATATTATTATATAGGTATCATATTGATTTTATGTTTAATTATTAAATTCAGTTAACCTTGAAAGTGTACATCAACGAAAAATTATATATTGTCAGATGACTAAAAAAATAACAATCATATGTTACTAAGAAAATTCTCCCATAAGAATATGTTAATAGATCACACGTTTGATTTTTTTTTAAAATTTTACTAAACATATATTTACTTATAAAAAATTTAACAAAATAAGATTGAAATAATATTTATATAACAAAAAAATCCGAAAAATCTGATAAAACCGAACCAATCTAAACCAATGTAGTTGGTTTGGATTAGTTGTGATAAGAACCGAACCGAGGTCCATATACACCGCCCATCACTTAGAAAATTCAAAAATAAAACGACATTCTATAGAACGTCTAAAAAGGGAGGGTTCCGACTATTCACTACAGGTACAGGATAAGCAGTTGCGGAAGAAGATAGCAAACTTTATTGATTGCCCATAGAGATATGGTAAGGTAGAAAAGAATCAATTGACTTTGCTGTTTGATTGCAAGAACTTTTGTCTATTCTTTGACTTTGCCAATTGGACAATGAACCACAATCTGTAATAAGAATTTATGCCTTTGCTCTCTTCTTTTGACTTGTGGCACTCTTTAATATGCAATGAGTTATCGACTTCATATCGTAAATTCTAGATAGTAGCTATTATGGCATCTGCCCTACTTTCCATTCTCCGAAACTCAAATGAAGAATCATTAAGGCAATTAATAGATTATTGAACACAACAGTATTATAAGAAACTACTATGTTATTGTGTGAATAAATTTATGAGTTCGATTATTTATATGGTCACTAAACTAATGAAAATGATGTAATAAAGTTATTTTTTTAATTATAATAGAAAAATCACTTAACTATTAGAAATAATGTAACAAAGTCACCACTCTTTATTTTGTATCAGAAAAATCACTTTCCTATTGCATCACACTAAATATATCTCTTAGCCGGAAACTGTATTTCCTATAACAATTTAATAACGTACCATACAATATTTGAAGCTAAAAAAAAAAATCATAAAACTTAACCATTTAAACCAATATAGCACCTCGGTTGATTACTTAAAAAGAGGAATAATATATAAAATCATCCAAGGTCTATGACCATATTACCAGTTACACACCTTTTTTTTCGGGGGTCCTATTACTAGGGGTGTGCATTCGAATCTGTTTATCGATAAATCGATTATTTGTTATCGAAATCGAAATCGAAAAAATCGAAACCTTATTGAAACGATAACGATAAGCATATGTACAAATCGATAATCGATAAGTAATTATCGATAAGGGTCAAAATCGAATCGATAAATCGAATGCACACCCCTAGACTGTAGACACTTGTTAAATGAGTAACTACCTATTTGTGTAGATTAATATAACATACAGAATGTATATATATTCCGCTACTATTTTGAAAGCGGCTATACAATATTATTTTCCCTAATCTATACCCTTTCCTTTACCCTAAGTCCCTTACCCTATTATTTCCTCTACCACATTTAAGGAATGATCATATTAAAGATCAAGGGAATGAAGTTCAATTAATGGAAAACAGAATTAGCCGTGATGATGTGTTTTGTTTTGTTTTGTTTTTTTTTATATCGTTGGAGTGTTGGTGGCATACATTTGATCCCTTACTTTAGTTTTGTTGCATGTGCTTGTTGACACAATTTTTATATTATAAATGGTGTTCGTCTTATTTTAGCTTCTTTTTGTCCATATTAGTTAGGCGCGTTTATAGCGATATACTTTCCGTGGAATCCCGCAAATTTTCTTATTAGTGTAATCGATAACCGAATCGATAAGCCCCCAAAATCGATAAATCGAAATCGAAAAAATCGAAACCTTATTGAAACGATAACGATAAGCATATGTACAAATCGATAATCGATAAGTAATTATCGATAATGGTCAAAATCGAATCGATAAATCGAATGCACACCCCTACCTATTACCCCCCATAACTATTTTAAAGTGTAATAAACACCACCCTAAGTGCTGACATAGAAAGTGTGCACACTCTCTATGTCAACGGATTAATTTTGAGATCCAAAATAATACATTCTGCTATCAATTTTGAACACGGTATAACACAAGGATTCACTGTGCAGTTATTTTGGATGAACTTCCTGTCGGCTGCTACTGTTATGTGTATTGTTCCTACAATATGGGTTCTAACCCATGGTAATGAAAATTAGAGTAACAATTTATAAAAAGAAAATAAAAGGTAAAGAGTTTGAATCTTGTTGATGGAGGTGGCGATGGTTTAACAGAATGTCTCAAAGACCGCTTGTTATTAAAACCTTGATTGATCCTGGTTACTTGGTTTCGGTGATTGGCTTCTTGAGTTATTTTACAAAAGGAATTTAAAGATCTGTTTGTTGAATTTTTATTATTGTCCATAAATAAATAAGAAAGGCCACAAATGATTTAGCCAATGAACCAAGGCCCTCTAGGAAATAAGCTGTTATATTCCTTTAATTGTAGTGATCGCTACTTTTATAAATAATAATTCGCTTTCCAAGTTGTGACAGTGACTAAATTTCAACCATTATGGAACATCCTTATGTATGATGAAGGAAATTACTTGGTGAATCTTTCTTATTCTATTACCTTTGGTGCTATTTTACAAACGCAAAATAATATTCTGTTGATTATTAAAATATACTTGAACGTCTTATTGGAGTTTAACGTCAGAGGATGGAATTAAACCTAACACTGTCATTGTTGAATTGTATGGGCTTATTCAATTTTACATGAACATAATATTATCCAAATAATAATTTATGATTAATAATAGTTTTCATCAAAGTGGTCTATTTATTTGGAGTCATTGAAAATTCTTAATACTTTGTACATGTGAAATAATTTTTACATGGATTGAGAGTTATGATTAATAGATAGATTCCACCAAAGTGGTCTGTTTATTTGAGTCATTAAAATATTCTCAATGTACCATGTCTAAGTTGTTCGAGTTAAGCGCATACTAGTGTTGGAGGTTTACCTTTTGATACTAGTGACGCTAAATTAATTTGTGAGATAAGATATTATGTTTCAACCTAAAGGATGAAACTTGATGTCTTGGATTCTCATGTATATAAAGGATAAGGACAATTTATCGTAAGAGAAGGTTTTACGTCTCTTACTTAAAGGAAGGACACAATGTATGCCTTGCATTCTTGAATAACGTGGGGAGGAGGTTTTGCATCTCTTGCCTAAAGGTGAATATACAATGAATGTCTTGGACTCTTTGGTTTTTAAGGGGAGACAGTTGCATCTTTCACCCAAAGGAGGAGTGCAATAGATGTCTTTGACTCTTTTGTTTTATATATTCATGCCCATGATTATCTCTAAACTTCTGTGTTGTTTGCTTATGCAGCTGTTAACAACATGACTACTCACTTGAATTCCGCTTGAAACTCTGACTAGTAGCAACTACAAGAAGTGGAAACAGGATATTGAAATAGTGTTAGGTCCGATGGACCTGGACTTTGCATTGGCTGGACAGAAACCTGCTGAACCTATAACTACTAGCACTGCTGATGAAAAGGCTAAGTAAGAGAAATAGATGAAGGCTAACAAATTGAGCCTTACGATCATGAAGAGATCCATTTCTGATCACATAAAAGGTGCAATTAAGGATAATGAAAATGCAAAATATTTCTTGAGTGCCATTGGACAGAAATTTTTAGAATCTGATAAAGTTGAGATTGATAGCCTGATTGATTCCTTGTCTTCCATAAAGTATGACCTTGTAGGTAGTGTCCGTGATCATATTATGAAATTGGTTAACATTTCTGTATAACCATTACCGATGATTTTCTTGTTCATCAATCCCTAAGGTCCCTTCCTGAGCAGTTTAACCAGCTTAAGGCAACC